AATATTTAATACATTTCAATTGGTATTCTATTGTTATAAGTGCAATTAATCATGATTAATTTTATTAATCCCAATTAATTTTTTGAGTTAATCACGTGAGTTAATTGCGATTAATTGACAGCCCTAGTTCCAGCATTTTAATCCAACACGATTAACGCTATTCATTGCTTTCCATCCTAGACTGGAGATTACTGGAGACAATTCAATCCTCATTTGTATAGTTGTCTTAAAGGAAAAACCCGTCTGCAGGAAACCATACCATGCTCTGTGAGGAATGAGCCCGCTCTGGAGTGTATAAGCAGGTGGACACTGGTTTGACTTCAAATTGGCTGGGTAAAGGCCATCACTATAACGAGGGGAAGGAATTCTTTACAATTAAAAGTGTAAATATAAATATTTAATCCAAACTACAGCACTTTCAAACCACTGAGAGAGCAGAGCTGGTATGGTTCAGAGCACTTTAGAGTCGGGTGTTTAATGCTTGTCTCTATTTTAGAAAAGCAGAAGCTCAGCAAGTGCTAGTCACTGAAACTGGGTGAAGGAAAGAGAATGCCTTGTTCTTGTGTGTTAATGGTGGCCCATTCCTTTTAATGTAAGATAAATGCAAATGTAGATCTGGCTCTAAGTGAGTCCAGCCCTGCTGCCTTTACACATGCCAGAGTCTCATTGACTTCAGGGGAACTGAACTGGTGAGTAAGGAGAGCAGGATCTGGCCCTAACGGTATATGTGACATGGGGGTGCTGAGAGCCACTTAACCAAACTGTATATAATGGAAACCACTTCAAGCCAGCCAGCACCCCCCAGCACCCTAGTTCCAGCACTTATGATGGGACATGTTGGGGTGACTTCCTCTGGCATTTATGGAAATTGTTGCCTACTCTCACAAATAAGAATATTCTTTTCTGAAAATCAACTAGTCAACTAGTTCATGACTCCCTGACTTCCTCTGATGACCTTCCTCTCCCCCTCTCCCCTCCCACCACCCATATACACAAACAGTTCATTGTAAAGATCATAGAATAACAGGCCATTTCAGAAATGCAATAGACATTTTAAAGCATGTTCTTCATGGGGCCAGCAGCCAAGTGTTTGAGTGAAAAAAGAAAATATAGAGCATAAGGAATTGAACTATCACCTATAGGCCAGCACAGAATGGCATTTCAGATCTTTCCTACCAGACACCTACAAATTTGAGACCTCTTACAATGGGGAAGTTCTGTATAGTGCAAGGATCTGAGCCTCCTAGAAACGACACTGTTTCCAATTATTGAATTAACAATTATAACACAGTTATCCAGTAGAGATGAATTTTCCCGTTATATTAATATGTTAATATTAAGATAACAAAGGTCACTGCTCCAATCTCAGTTCTTCACACACTGCAACAGTTTGATCACTCAAACCAGCCTCCCCTGCGATTCACTTCCTCATTCCTTGTTTTATATTTTGTTAAACAAACTCTAAGAAATAAATTAAGCCAAAAAAACTGCAGTGCTGTATTTGTTTTTTTGTTTTTATTATCAACAATCAGTTAATGGTACACTCTTGGAAAACTATATGCACATGTAGAAATATTTCCCCTTTTAAATAGAAGCATTCATTTGAACCACATATAAATAAATTTGAAAACCCTGAACATAATTTATGACGATTATGCTCTCAAACATATTCCAACAGGAAGGGAAAAATAAAAGACGACATGCAACTGATAATAAAAATATATACCATTATCTGAACCTGGTCTCTCGAAACGCGAAGTAACCGAACCCGTGAGAACCTTCTTTCTCCATAAAGACACGCCATAGAGACTACGAGGAGGGAAAACATTATTTATACGGTCAGCTAGAGTAGACAAGTCTGTACTGATATTAACACTATACAATTGAGTCACAGAACACAGCTGTAGAAAGACACAGAAAAAGTTAAAGCATACCTGTCCACATTCAACTAATAGCTATATTTTTGTGCCTTTTAAAAGAAATTAAAATTAAAAAAAAAAAAACCCTAAACGGAGAGCCTAAAAACTGCGTGAGCCATGTACTCATAATACTTAATAATAAATACAATCCATCCACCCGGCCAGGAGGCGAGTCCTAGGGGGCCAGAGAGCCAGGGACCTGCTCCCGGCCCAGGACGGGGAGCTGCGGGACCTTTGCAGCAGCTGCGGTGGGATCAAAGAGAACGTGGGCGTTAAAAACCAAAGGGGGGCGAGTGGAAGCCGCCGGAGGACGAGCGCGA